TGGTAGATGTCCCCTCTCTGTCCTCCACGTCCCAGCACCATTGGTCCAGTGTCAGAGAAGTGTACACGAGGTCTATCTTTGTCCAGTGCCAGATACAAGTCGCCAAGTCTGTAGATAGCCAAATCAATAGATCAGAATAAAAAAGTTAGAAATTTTTTGGCTCACCATTCACAGTCAGTAAACTGAACGTATACTTCAAAAATGTACTGAAGGTATCACCACAAACATGAAAAGTATGCTATACTATACTTTACCACATTTCTAAGATATTTTATACAAAATATCAAGTACATACTGTTCTTATATATATAGGATAGACTAAAAATATTTCCAACGTATATTTAACAGTCTAGGATAAACTATACAAACATTTCTAAGGTACATTAAACATATCTAGGATATACTTTACAAACATTTCTAAGGTACATTAAACATGTCTAGGATATACTACACAAATATTTCTGAGGGACATTAAACATATCTAAGATATACTATACAGATATTTCCAAGGTACATTAAAAATATCTATGATATACCGTACAAACATTTCTAAGGTATATTAAATATAACTATGATATAACAAACTAATATTTATAAGGTATTTTAAACATATCTAGGATATACTATACAAATACTTCTGAAGTATATTAAACATATCTAGGACATAAAGTTAGTTGCATATCCTTTACAGGACGTTGCCGAACCAACCCCAGCATTTTTTGGCTGTTATGATTTTTCAGGCAAATTTTACCTTCAGTAGTCTGCCATTGCTTTTTGAATGGTCAGCTCTAGGTACCCCAGTTGAAACCAATGCCCCAAAAAAAAAAAATTGTCTGCAGCTGTGATCGAACTCTGCACTCTGGCATTACAAAGCACACTTGCAATGCCTTAGCCACAGACATTCATCTAGGATAAACTATACAAATACTTCTAAGGAATATTAAATATACCTAGGATATACTATACTAACACATCTAGAATATACTATACAAATATTTCAAAGGTATATTAAACATGTCTAGGATATACTATACAAACACTTCTAAAGTATATTAAACATATATAAGAATATACTATACAAACATATATAAAGTACATATCTAGGATATACTATACAAACGTTTTAAGGTGAAGGTAAAAGTCGGGAGATGTGAACCAGCGTCACTGCACACGGTTATAAACCATAAGTGCTCTGCCACCAGTACGGACAGTTGATAAAAATTGGCCGCCTGTGTCGCTATTTGCGCGTAACTCTGTAGCTACAGCGATGTTCCTCCATTTACCCCAGAGTGTCAACTGGTACCCATTTCCTAGAGGGTGGGTGAACCCTGGGAACAGCCCAGTTTCGAACACTGACCGTGGGCTGCAGCGAGTCGCAGCTGGATTTGAAAAGCGAGCCTCCTATCGACTGCGCTAACGCGGCACCCACATTTTAAAGTATATTAAACATATCTAGGATATTCTGTATAACCCTTTCTAAGGTACAGTAAATATATCTAGAATATAATATACAAATACACCCAAGGTATATTAAACATATCTAAGACATACCATTCAAACATATCTAAAGTACACATCTCCCTTTTGCATATTTAAACCAGAGACCACTGTTCATCATATATGAACAGAATACAGACTAGAAAGATTGATTAAGATTGATTCTGACCTCTTGTCTATGCTGTAGTCCCCCAGTCGAACTTTGCCATTGCTGTCTATGAATACACTGGATGCCTGAATAATATACAAAAGAAAATGGATACTGAATGTTTCAGACGAAGAAGAATGTTAGTACAAAAACACAATAAAGTCTCCACAGAAAAAGGGATACAAGTACATTACATTAATTCTCAGCCATAGTTAGAAACAGGCATTAATTACAAGTAACTATATCTGTACTCTTTGCATGAAACTCTCTATTACTTACTCATAGATGAATAGTGGTCAATATGGTGGATAGGCTGGCTAGCTGTTTTTAGTCATGGCATGTTTTTGCTTCTGACAATAATTAACCATTGAATCCCCCCCCCCCCCCCCCCCCCCATACGTAGACTGAATGGATATAGTTTTGCTGCCTAGCTACACGGTGTGGCACTGTGAGCTGCAGATTTCCTTTAAAATACTTTTTTGACTGTGCACAATGTGGGTTGTGATGTGAACTGCAAATTCAGAAAATAACAAGCGGCCTGTTGCCAGAAAACTAGTGGAGCTTTATACAATGTATTGCCAGTGAAATTACTAATCTGTTTAGCTTCTGCTTCCAGTGATGGTGAACAGCATTTTTCTTGTTCCGGACTATTTGTGCTGGCATTTTTCCCAGCTGCATTTTACACAACATGTGTGTGTGTATGCTACTACTGGCTTTGCTGTGACTGCAGTCTGCCAATTTTTTCACAAGGGATGGTGATGAACATTCTGTGTATTTTTATTAGCACAGGAACGGAGCAACTAATGGGGTTACCCATTTCCTATGAAGTTAGAACAGTGATTAAGTAATAATTGACTTTCAAATACATGAAATATCTACTTAATATCTTAAGTCTAGATTGATAACTCGTCTAGCATCATCACTGCGAAGTAGGTCATTTACAGAACGCTGGTCTCATCGTGGAAAACTGGGAAAAGACCCAATCCCCTGCCAAAATTTATTTTATACAAATCTCCTGCAATTTAATGAGAAACTTGTGTTCCCAATGTCCTCTGTCCACCATTATGTTGGGTAAACACTGCTTCTTCTTAGAGAAACCCTCTAGCACACATCTGTTGTCTACTGGGTGTCTTAAAAGTTTCCACACATAGGAAAACTAAACATATCACTAGTGCCACTACAAGTATAACTCCAGCTGTGCTTATCCATGTTCAGCCGTATTCATTCACATCAAAATACATTCTCCTATAAATGGAAACTTATGGGACACCCTAAATGGATGCAGATTCCTGAAGTACACTGTCGGTTATCTATCACAAGATGATGACCATACTTGTATATAATCTATTAATTATTGAGTCACTGAGGACTCTTGCAGAACTACCTGTCTCCTACTTATTAAAACAAGTCTTTACTTCTGCATTTACAACTTTTTAAGGCTGTGTAGAACAGGACTCTTGCAGAACTACCTGTCTCCTACTTATTAAAACAAGTCTTTACTTCTGCATTTACAACTTTTTAAGGCTGTGTAGAACAGGGCAAACAAATAAAGTCCTAACCTGCACAATTGGTGGTGACCGTACTAGCTATGCAGCCCTAAATCTTCAGACTCAGACACTTTCCTGCCTAAATCACAACAGTGATAAATACAGGCAGTAATCAGTTCTGGCAGTAGGAGGGGGGAATCTTGAGCGTGAGGATTTTATTACGCCATGGCTGGTGTAATCACCATAAACTGTGCTGGTTAGGATGTTTATGTTTCTCCAATATAAACAATTTTTTTAAACAAAACTCACCCTCAAGTTTTTGTGGACTATTGAGTTACGGTGAAGATAACACAATGCTTGTAAGATTTCCCCCGTGTAAATTCTCAGTAGTTCTATAGGCAGTGGGTCCTTGTGCTGAGTGTAAACAGACAGGTTAGTTCCTCCCGAGTACTCCATTAGCACCTGAGGACATGCACGTTATTATATCATTCATTCATTGTAGTGGTGTGCCTCATTATATGTCACGTAAAACTGAAGCTCTGCAAAAAAAAGTCCAGACCTGGACGAAACAACCAGGACTACACACCAGAGTTTACAGCAGGTGAACATAAGAAGAAGAAGAAGAAAAAGAAGAAGAAGAAGAAGAAGAAGAGGAGAAAGAAGAAGAAGAAGAAGAAGAGAAAGAAGAAGAAGAAGAAGAAGAAGAAGAAGAAGAAGAAGAAGAAGAAGAGAAGAAGAAGGAAAAGAAGAAGAAGAAGAAGAAGAAGAAGAAGATAACAGGGAGAAACAATTTGCAGTTCAGCTTTCAACACTGGCTAATGTCATTTCATGTGAAGGTGTAATATCTTTAATTACCTTTACAGTCAAGAGGATCGACTTTATTACAAAAGGTTTTATTGCACATGGCTCAGTCTCTCCTCAAAACAGCATACGCGAGTGCTGAACAAAGCACAAACCTCAGAGCTCCAGGGATATCCATAACAACTGCACTTGTAAATGGAATGACAGTCTACTAAATCAACCCACATCTTTCAAAGCCCAAGGCAAGCAGCGTGACCACTTCCCCACAGTGATCATCATATGACTTCAACTTTTTTTTGTTACCATGCAACTCACAATACGTTAATTAGTGCATTTGTACAATGAATTTTGATATATGAACATAACATGCTTGATACATAAAACACAGCATGTTGTAGGAGGTGACTAATTAAGGGTGTTAGCATCAAAGACAGAGGGCATCCACCTGACAGGTAAGGAACCAACAGTCTGCATATAAATAAGCCAGATCTATATAAGAGATTTTCATGCAAAACAAGTTCTGGAACAAGACCAAACTCCAGAAGTGGACGAACCATCAGAACTTTCCGCTGAAGTTTACAGCCAATGAACGCAAAGAAGAAGAAGAACTCAAGCTGGAAGAATAACTCAAGCTGGAAGAAGAACTCAAGCTGGAAGAAGAACTCAAGCTGGCTAGCTAATTCAAAATAAAGGTAAAGGTTAAAGTTGAGAATATCTAATTTATTGCAGCGGGTTTTATCACATTTGGCTGTGGCTCTCTCTGCAGAATAGCGAGCCGCCTGTCGGGAGCGTAGCAGAAAGCATGAACACCATACCTCCAGCGACGATCTCCAGGAGTCTCCATAAAATTGCTGTGTGAACCGAAAAACACAGCCGTGAAATGAACGCACGAGCTTCAGAGACCACGGAGACCACTCTAAACTGAAAATGGTAATGATCTAAAATAGTAAAAAAAAAATGCAATAATTAAAAATAGAACTTCTTAGAATATAGAGAGTCAAAGTAATTAGAGGCTGGTGCTAACAGAGTGATTATAGGCTATAAATCACTGACAAAGAAATAATTACATTGACAGTAATCCTGCCTGGTTGGTACTGATGTCGCCAAGATAGATAGCGGATGAGGTTGGGGTGGTGCAATCGAAGCAGTGCTGCCATCTCCTGCTCAATGCTCAGAACCTATAAAAAAAAAAACACACACACAATTATGTTAAGTTCAAATAAAGCAGACACAAACCTTACTAGCAAGCAATGATGTACAGACCAGGTGAGAAGCGAAGAAGAGGCCGACCAAGGAAATGTGGATCGAGTCCCTGGGAATCCCCACTTACGAAGTGCACAAACGGGCACTTTCCTGTAAATTATACTTTACCTCCATACTACAAGGTACCAGAGGATCAAGATGAGATGAGATGAGAGAAAACTACTGTAATTCTTTACAAAAAAGGGGTTAATGAAGTAAAACCAATCTCAAATACCAGTTCATTAACAATTCTTCACCAAGAGACAGGTAACAATATAAACATACACAGCTATGGTAAAATTAATAGGACACTTTTTACACCAGTGGCACATCGGGTTTATGAGGAATCATATTTTTATAGACCAATCAGAACTCGATGGGTGATGTGGTCAACATCACACCAGCCGCCTTTACTTCCCGGAAATTTTGAAACAGAAAAAATCTACCTTTATGTAGATTTCTTTTCTTCTTCTTGGCATTCTCTGGCCTAAACTCTGACAGAAAGTTCTGGTTTTTTCATTAACTTCTGGACTTTAGCCTTGCTCCAGAATGTGAGTTTTGCCTGCACATCTGTTTTACAAATCTGGCTTATCTGTATGCAGACTGCTGGTTCTTCGCCTCTCAGGCAGACACACTCTAATAAACTCTAGATCCTATGGGGAGGTAGGTGAACATCTAGCCACTACGCTACTGTTAATCTCAACAAACACCTGTGCCATAGTTGACAAATACAATTCATTATCATCATCATAAACCACTTCTGCTGTTAGGTGTCATGTGAAGGAATAATCTGCACGCTGGCTGCCACTGGCTATTGTCATGCTGTGAAGTCGTAAAGTGTCTTTTACTTTTACTTTTAAAAAAAAAAAAAATCACGTAGGTGTATCATAACATTCCAGATACTGGCTGACCTCCGTAAATCACCCCACTCTTAAATCTCACCAATGAATGGAGACTGGAGATGCTAATTATCTTCTCACATTTTCTTACTTATGAGTTCACAGAGGAGGGCAAACAGAATGACTCAATTAATCATCATCAATTTCCACTTCTGCCGATATAATGTATCACTAGGATAAAACACAACTAACAGTCTTTACAATTCTTTAAATGAGAACTGATTATGTAAACATTCACATAAATACTCTGGCCCCACTACCTGTTTCAGGTGGGCCTCTCCTTCCTTGTCATCTTCCCTATCCCAGGAATTCTGTCTTTTGCCCACATTTCTCCACTGCATCACCCACTCAGCTACGGCCACCAGATCACCGCTAGCTTTGTCCATCCCAGCATAGATGGTGCTGCCACTACTACTGTGACCTACAACAATTCAACATATTGGTTAACTGCAGGCAAGAATCAGAAGTAAAGATCAGCACAGCCAGGAACGGGAGGCAAAAAAAAAAATGAAAAAAATGTTTATTTTCGGGAGAGGTCTTAACAAATGGGGGAGGGGAGGGGGGAAAACATTTAATTCTTCTTCGTGTTCACCAGCTGTAAACTCTGGTGGAAAGTTCTGGTTGTTCATCCACTTCTGGACTGCAGTCGTGTTACAGAATCTGAGTGTTGTGTGTGCATCTGTTTGACAGAACTGACTCATCTGTATGCAGACTGCTGGTTCCTTGCCTCTCAGGCAGATGCAATCCGACTTCAAAGAAAGCTTCCAATTAGTCGACTCTTACGACATGATTCTGGGTAGGCAATGGATGTATTCTTGTTTTCCCCACAATAAAGCCCCGGAACACATAAACCAGCTTACAGAAGCCAGCTTCAGGCCTCAGAAATGACATTTCTAAAAAAGGTGGTTCAAGTGATGAGATGGGATAAATTTGCAACCAGACAATACAACATGATTTTGAAACCCAGGCCTTACAAACATGTATGCAGAATCGGACAGAATCGGCAGGCATGAGATGCCAAGAAACAGGGAATCAGACCTACAGGATGGCCCATGGTTTGCCTGGAATACAACATCTCTGACTGAGGACCGGAATATATGAAAGCCAAAAATAAAACTGCTGACAGAGAAGTCTGGCGATGTCTTTCTGGCAAACCTCTATACCCTAGGGTAGGAAAAGGTCAACTAAGTAAGTTGACAGTTTTCATCTGTCTCATGGAGGGCTGCCTTATTTGTTTTCCTTTTATTCTCTGATATTATTTGCATGTTTCTCACAAATCACATCTCAGCTTGTGATTTTCAGCTTGTTGTCTATGTCTGTCATGCATATAATAGCACTGGCTGTATACAGCACAGTAATGCTCTTTTTCTCACTGCAAACGAAATATTTTTAATGGCCAGTATTTGGACTGAGGAAGACTTCTTCTTCTGTGTTCCCTCTTTGAAGGGCAGTTGGCATGTGCTGCACTGTAGTTTACAGCTGGGCTGCGATATCTGCTTCTTTTTGTCCAACACATTGTTTTCAACAAAACTCCAATGTGCTCCTTTTATGAAGTGCTAGTTAGGTGGGGACAGTGGATTCATTCCCTTTTCTCTCTCCTAAAATGCGGCTGCGTGGTCCCGAGGCATGGTGTCCGCCTCCAGTGATAGAGATTCCGGGTTCAATCCCCGGTAAGGGCTGGGATTTTTTACCGTGGACTTGGACTTCTAGTAATTCCCCCTGGTCTCTGGGTAGTGAAATCGACAGCCTGTGTGCATTGTTGCATATGAAACAAAAAATCTCTTGGCAGCTGGAAATAAAAAAGAGTAGCCTAACAGTGCTGCCCAGGCAAAATTTTGAGTTAAAAATCTACCCAAAAATATTTCAGGATCTTCACCGTTGCTATAGAGCCTGTGCACTACGCTGAGCTACTTCAGACTCAGACTTGAGTTAGAAGTAGAATGGAGCCCTTATGGGTTACTACCCGTGTGGAATGATGTTGATACGTTGTTCAAACTTCTCTCTCCTAAAATGGAGCCCAAAAACCCATATGGGGAACTGAGGAAGACAAAATAACACTCTCTTACCCAGACATTTGCCTCTCTGTATGATCCTCTCTACTTTGTTAGTGTTGAAGGTCAGTGTTGTCACCTCCACGGTTTGGTCCTTGAGAGAGCTTGTCAGAGGGTCATCATCCTCCATCCTCATGGGTGTACTTGTTGTTCTGTTAGAGAACACATCATAAGTTGGCTGTTTACAACAATAATTGCCATATTAATCAAAGCAGCAAAATATGAGGACTTCAGTTACTCATTTGCCTATTCAAAGGTCTTGGGTTCATATCCTTCTTCTTTGTGTTCACCGGCTGAAAAATCTGGCCAAAAGTTTTGTTTGTTCGTCCAATCTGAGATCAAGTGAACAATGATATTATCAGAAAGATTCTGGGAACGACACCTTGTACTAGATTCATCGAGAAAGAGCTGATCAAGTGGTTCGGCCGTCTCGTTAGAATGCAGCAAGATCAGATACAATCACAAGCACTACATCTCAGAAGATCAGCTACAAGATCAAGAGAGGGCTGTGAAAACAATGGATCAAGACATTTTTTTAAAATTTACACCTTCACAGCATGACAATAGCCAGTGGCAGCCAGCGTGCACCGGATCGCATATTATTCCTACCCACGAAGCTGAATGGCAGAAGTGGTTTATGATGATGATGATAATGACGAAATGATACCACAGACCCCTTAAATGTGTCCAGGGGTCCAACCATAGGGCGGATGTTTTCTACTGGCTGAAGCCAAAGAGACACATAATGCATTGTTGTGGACATGTAATAAGATCTATCAGCTTTTCCAAAACCCTACTTGATACAAAAGAAGAGGAGGTAATGCAGCTAAGAAGGATTTGGATCAAAAATCTGACCAAAAGAATAGACCCTCAAATAAAAACAAAAAAAACATGTAGTCCAGCATACACATAATTACCAGAAATGGTGAAAGTGGGGGATTGGGGGGTGGGGGGGGGGGGGGGGGGGGGGGCTATATCAAACATTCAACAATATCTCAGTGACCAAACTAAAATGCACATCATCATCACGCTGTGCATTTATACATCATACTGGGCTTCCAGTTTAGTCCTCATTCCATTCTACTCTGTGCAAACCCTCCAATATCATGGATGGAATTTAGTCCGGCACTTTTCACTTTTTAATGATATTCTTTTCAGGAATGGGCTTGGACATCCCTCCCCCCCTCAATTCATTAATAAACCAGTGTTGTAAGAATTCAGATAAAACCAATCAGCAGAAATAACAGTCTTGTGTTGTGGGAATTCAGATAAAACCAATCAGCAGAAATAACAGTCTTGTGTTGTAGGAATTCAGATAAAACCAATCAGCAGAAATAACAGTCTTGTGTTGTGGGAATTCAGATAAAACCAATCAGCAGAAATAACAGTCTTGTGTTGTGGGAATTCAGATAAAACCAATCAGCAGAAATAACAGTCTTGTGTTGTGGGAATTCAGATAAATCCAATCAGCAGAAATAACAGTCTTGTGTTGTGGGAATTCAGATAAAACTAATCAGCAGAAATAACAGTCTTGTGTTGTGGGAATTCAGATAAAACCAATCAGCAGAAATAACAGTCTTGTGTTGTGGGAATTCAAATAAAACCAATCAGCAGAAATAACAGTCTTGTGTTGTGGGAATTCAGATAAAACCAATCAGCAGAAATAACAGTCTTGTGTTGTGGGAATTCAGATAAAACCAATCAGCAGAAATAACAGTCTTGTGTTGTGGGAATTCAGATAAAACCAATCAGCAGAAATAACAGTTTTGTATTATAAAGATTTTTAAAAAAAAGTAAAGATCCCTTTTTACGCCTTAGGTGCATTGGGTATATGGGAAGAGCGTCCCATATTTTTACAGACCAATCGGCACTGGATGGGTAATGTGGTCAGCATTATGCCGGTTGTCTTTACTTACGACAGCCATCCTGGTACCCATTTTAGGCTGGGTCGACCTGCGACGCCACATACCAAGATAAAAATCCACGCAGCCAGCAGTGGGTTTCGATCGGGATACGTAGGATCACGAGTTGGACTCGCAACGCCTATGCTTGTGTTATAGGAATTCAGATACAACTAATCAGCAGGAATAACAGTCTAGAAAACTGCTACGGTTACCTGTGCCTCTGAGGTTTATACAGTGGTGTGGCTCCTGGCTGAACCGGAGTCGCAGGCGGACACAGATCTGGCTCCTCTCTGTGGGTTTATGGGGGACAGAGGTGGGTGAGGCTGCACTATCTTAGCACTGGTCCCTGCAGGTGTACTTGACTCAACCTGTAGATCATAGTGATAGTTTTAATTAACAGTGAACTGCTCAATATCAAATCAGTACTGCTGTAAGGAGTGGAAACATGGAGAAATAAAACAGTTACTAATAAACTACAAATATTAATTAACTAGTGTCTATACAGAATAGTAAAAATAAGTAAACGATACTTTTTCTACACCTTCAGACGCATTGGGCATACAGGGCTAGACCTGTATTTTAGAGACCATTCGGCACTTAGTGGGTGATGTGATCAGAATCATGCCAGATGCCTTTACTTTCCAGGACTTTTCCCCAGGCCTAATAGGCCTGTCAGACACATTTGTATAAGTGTTACACAGGTAAAGCTGTTATTTTTTGTTAGTAGGCCGCACTTTCGATAATAAGAAAAAGGCCACGCCCTAGAATGGATAAATCAAGACTACCAAGCCCTCATTTGGACACAGCGTTCGTGGAAGACCGATTCTCAAGAATATTTATTTAAGTACTCATTATAATAGCAAAGTCAGTCTGACTTCCACACAAAGTTATCGGTTAATGAGTAGCCACTAATTTATTTATTTCTTGTAGCTCACAAGCATACTAAACCCAGGTAGTCGCTGGCTAAGCATATCAACAATATCTGGTGTAGTTCTTCGCAATCATACTAGCAGTGTGAACAAAGTCTTGGGAGTCTAGCAGATGCATCTGGAATAATAGCTGAAACAGCATCCTGGCTACCGCAGCTAACTTTATAACTCCAGCTAAAAAAAAAAAAAAAAAGGACACTTGTCACAATAATGAACAACTTCTACTGTCCTCCCCACATCTTTAGTCCATGTCAAGTGAAAACAATTCTCACATTTCAGAAATACCAAACAGACACATCTGTCCACTGGACTGCCAAACTACCAACTGCCATGTATTGATCTACTCCCCTTGTGAACTCTTCTCACCTGTAAAACTCAGTTACCCTAATACCCCTGCCCATCTTGTCTACACACAACACGTCTGACCAGTAACTGTCCTGTCTGCTGTTATGAGTCAGAGTTTAGTCATTATTTGTCTTTCTCTCCCAGTGTGTGTTAAACTTGACTCATAACAAAACCTACAGGCATAGAAAAGGGTCCTTTACTTTTATTGTGTTTACCATGACACCATTTCGCCAAAAACCACAAATGTTGATGATCAATAACTCTTTTTTGTAACTCAGAGATGAACCACATTTTGTAAAAACAAAACAAAAAGAAAGCGGAGGACAGATGATGTCAACCTGTCCCACTATACACAATGATGAACACATGATTTTGTTTAGAACTACTAACTCATATAAATAATGGAAATTACAACTTCAAACTTACAGTTTTCAGATCCTCATTCCGTCTCCTTTTTTCATTTCGCAGAGCTTCCTGCTGCTTAAGCAAGTCTTGTTCAATTTGCTGGCGCTGCAGACAAATTATTACACTTAAACTAAAAAATATTATTTAAATTGTTATTGCACTTATTATTTAAAAATGAGGGCACAAACAGTATACAACATTATTTACTGTCTGGGAGGTGTATTCTAATACAGTTTGCATCAAAATAAAGATGTGTTCAAATGGGACATGAATGCTACAGTACTGAGACAGATTCGTGGAGGCAGAAAATCGGGACAGGAATATGGGGGGAAAAAAAGAAAATTATGGCAAACACGTAAACAGCTGAGTGTCTGACAAAAAGCACATTCAATACATACTATGGCAACAACGGTCGTGAAATCTCATGCTCTAATTTAGGAAAACTTTTCTTAACATCCAAGGGTCTTGCTTCCCTTTCTTCTTCTGCCTTCTATCCCCCCAATGGAACATAAGCTCTCAACCAGATCATACCTCACCACGTGCCCAAACCAAGCTAGCTCGCAAAATTTCACCACTGCCAAGAGAGGCTCCTGATGTCCTGCAAATGTGTATATTTTGTCTCTGACATATTTATTAGTTTTGTGTTCTAAATAACTGATTTGTAAAATGTGTCTATAGCATTTACATTCGAAAGCCTGAATCCTAATTTCCGTTTCCACAGTAAGAGCCCAACTCTCATATCTGTATAAGAAAACAGACAATGCCAGTGATTTGTAAATACTGACCTTGACTGTGAAGCTGATTTTGCTTTTCCATACTGTATTCAGCTGGGACATAACGGCCATATCAAGTCTTGTCTTGATTTATACCCACATTTTAAAATAAAGCTATACAAAGCAATAGCAACTTGTTGTCCTTGCTGCTGTTGGTTGCTCAACTTAATTACTATCAATAAAAAGTCGGGCATTAGTGAAAATGACAGTCTTCAGTTAATAAAAAAAACTTTGTTTACAATGCTTTTATCTTTTTCTTATTTCCATGGTAAATTTTCAGCCTCATTTTATATACTCAGAGTTTTATAAATAAATTAATCATGCAGTTGACATATCACATATTATTCATTCATGAACCACCGGGAACCATACGGTGGAAGCACTGTAGTCTACCAGATGATGATGATTGCTGAGAGAAAAAACTAAGGAAGGCTGGCAAACTTCAATAGAAAACTTCTTCAAAATGCAATCAATCAAGAATAAGTGTACATGGAATGTAGAGGTGCATCACCACATGTGTACTCAAAATGGTCAAGACATATCTACACCTCTCTGTGGTCATCCTAGAAGTAGGTCAAGACATATCTACACCTCTCTGTGGTCATCCTAGAAGCAGGTCAGGACATATCTACACCTCTCTGTGGTCATCTTAGAAGCATAGAAGCAGATCAAGACATATTGACACCTCTCTGTGGTCATCCTAGAAGCAGGTCAAGACATATCTACACCTCTCTGTGGTCATCCTAGAAGTAGGTCAAGACATATCTACACCTCTCTGTGGTCATCCTAGAAGTAGGTCAAGACATATCTACACCTCTCTGTGGTCATCCTAGAAGTAGGTCATGACATATCTACACCTCTCTGTGGTCATCCTAGAAGCAGGTCAGGACATATCTACACCTCTGTGTGGTCATCCTAGAAGTAGGTCAAGACATATCTATACCTCTCTGTGGTCATCCTAGAAGTAGGTCAAGACATATCTACACCTCTCTGTGGTCATCCTAGAAGTAGGTCAAGACATATCTACACCTCTCTGTGGTCATCCTAGAAGCAGATCAAGACATATTGACACCTCTCTGTGGTCATCCTAGAAGCAGGTCAAGACATATCAACACCTCTCTGTGGTCATCCTAGAAGCAGGTCAAGACATATCTACACCTCTCTGTGGTCATCCTAGAAGCAGGTCAAGACATATCTACACCTCTCTGTGGTCATCCTAGAAGCAGGTCAAGACATATCTACACCTCTCTGTGGTCATCCTAGAAGCAGGTCAAGACATATCACCTCTCTGTGGTCATCCTAGAAGTATATTTCCTACTGGGGTATGGCCATTGTAAATAGGACAGGTGTTTCCTTCGAAAATGGGGCACATCTGTTTAAGAGGTAAGAAGTCTACACACAATTAAGCCAGACTTGAAAAATGGATATGCATGCAACATTCAAGTACTGAAACAATACTTTTTTTAGAGTTCGCACCAGCACACAAATGAGAAGAGGAAGAAGAAGAAGAAGAAGAAGAAGAAGAAGAAGAAGAAGAAGAAGAAGAAGAAGAAGAAGAAGAAGAAGAAGAAAGAGCCTAGCATGAACTGATTGAGGATGCAGCTCCAACAGTAGATAAAAGGCAGAAGAAGAAGAAGAAGAAGAAGAAGAAGAAGAAGAAGAAGAAGAAGAAGAAGAAGAAGAAGAAGAAGAAGGAAACAGTTACAATCTCGTGCCTGTTATTAGAAAAACTCCAGCGGAAAGTTCTGGCTGTTCATCAATTTTTGGACTTTAATCTTTTTCCAGAACTTGAGATTTGTATGCACATTCATTTTACAGATCTAGCTTATTTGTATGCAGAATGTTGGTTCCTGGCTTCTCATGCACATGTACTCTAACCTTGAAGTAAACACCACTAATTAGTTGGGCTTTAAAAAATGCTTGTTGGGGTGGGGGGGGGGATGGGTGAGTTTACTCTGGTTTCCCTTACAATGGTGCCCTGGAACCCATATAGGGATCAGTATGTATGGATTGATGGATATTTGGATGGATGGATGTATGTATGTATGTAACTCGTAACCCACCAGGACATCACACAAGCAATAAACACCCAGTGACACAAAGTGCCACCATGCGGATGAGGATCACCCGAGGAGAGTTACCAGAAATCCCATTTAGCCGTTAGGCCATATCTATGGCCCGGTTATATTTGCGGCCCCCCAGCCAAAGCCAGGGTGGGGCTTCAAATAATGAAAAATTGCATCCCTCATGGGGAAGGCCATTAAAATGGGGATCAGAAGCAATAAAATAGGTCAAACACAAACCTTCTGTTCTTCCTTCTGCCTCTCCAACTCCTTTGTTCTCTCCTCTTGTTGCTTCATATTACTGATCATTTGTTCATAGAAAGACTGCGTTGGAGGTTTGTTGTGCTTGTGCAGAAAGACCTGGGCAATGCCGGCTAGCTGATATATCATCACCTGCATAATCAAAAGTCACATGAAGTCTAAACATAGGAAATTAGCTGATATATCATCACCTGCATAATCAACAGTCACATAAAGTCTAAACATAGGAAATTAGCTGATATATCATCACCTGCATAATCAACAGTCACATGAAGTCTAAACATAGGAAATTAGCTGATATATCATCACCTGCATAATCAAAAGTCACATGAAGTCTAAACATAGGAAATTAGCTGATATATCATCACCTGCATAATCAACAGTCACATGAAGTTTAAACATAGGAAATTAGCTGATATATCATCACCTGCATAATCAAAAGTCACATGAAGTCTAAACATAGGAAATTAGCTGATATATCATCACCTGCATAATCAAAAGTCACATGAAGTCTAAACATAGGAAATTAGCTGATATATTATCACCTGCATAATCAAAAGTCACATGAAGTCTAAACATAGGAAATTAGCTGATATATTATCACCTGCATAATCAAAAGTCACATGAAGTCTAAACATAGGAAATTAGCTGATATATCATCACCTGCATAATCAACAGTCACATGAAGTCTAAACATAGGAAATTAGCTGGTAGATCATCACCTGCATAATCAAAAGTCACATGAAGTTTAAACATAGGAAATTAGCTGATATATCATCACCTGCATAATCAACAGTCACATAAAGTCTAAACATAGGAAATTAGCTGATATATCATCACCTGCATAATCAAAAGTCACATGAAGTCTAAACATAGGAAATTAGCTGATATATCATCACCTGCATAATCAAAAGTCACATGAAGTCTAAACATAGGAAATTAGCTGGTAGATCATCACCTGCATAATCAAAAGTCACATGAAGTCTAAACATAGGAAATTAGCTGGTAGATCATCACCTGCATAATCAAAAGTCACATGAAGTCCAAACAAAGGAAATTAGCTGATATATAATCACCTGCATAATCAAAAGTCACATGAAGTCTATACATAGGAAATTAGCTGATATATAATCACCTGCATAATCAAAAGTCACATGAAGTCTATACATAGGAAATTAGCTGATATATCATCACCTGCATAATCAAAAGTCACATGAAGTCTAAACATAGGAAATTAGCTGATATATCATCACCTGCATAATCAAAAGTCTCATGAAGTCTAAACATAGGAAATTAGCTGATATATCATCACCTGCATAATCAAAAGTCACATGAAGTCTAAACATAGGAAATTAGCAGATATATCATCACCTGCATAATCAAAAGTCACATGAAGTCTAAACATAGGAAATCAGCTGATATATCATCACCTGCATAATCAAAAGTCACATGAAGTCTAAACATAGGAAATCAGCTGGTAGATCATCACCTGCATAATCAAAAGTCACATGAAGTCTAAACATAGGAAATTAGCTGATATATCATCACCTGCATAATCAAAAGTCACATGAAATCTTAACATAGGAAATTAGCTGATATATCATCACCTGCATAATCAAAAGTCACATGAAGTCTATACATAGGAAATAAGTTAATATGAAATCTAAAACAGCAAGAATATGTAAGTTACATGAAGTCTAAACATAGGAAATGTGTTAATATGAAATCTAAAACTAGCAAGAATAAGTAAGTTAGTTAGTTATTTGGGGTTTCAACATCACTGCAATTGGGTTTCCCCATACTTGCTCTGTTACTCTGCCAGTGCAAATCAAATGAAATGTCCCTCACTGTAGCATATGAAAAACTAGTGAATAAACAACTAGTTATGGAACAATCCAGAAATATGCTCACGCAGTAAATGCGCATTTCAGTTGCTCGAGGCGGCAAAGCCATCAACCGCCACCAGAAATGCAGTTTGTCATTGATGGAAGTAGTCGGGGATGATAAGTTGGTCACTACACTTACAACTAGAATTCTTACATAAGGTATTTCACCAGCTCATACTGAAACCGGCCACCAGCCATACTGAACAAAACAACGCAACAGGAAAAACACAGCTCACATGGTTGTAATTAAGCACTAAACAGTAGCTCAAGCAGCGAAACCTTAGACTACTGTCCTTATGTGGAAACTGCATTAGCAAAGCGCTGTTGGAAGCAAAAATAACTTCAAAGCTTAACATTCTGCCAAGCTTTTCCTCCATTTTGGCTGAAAGTCAAATATGTAAGTCACATGACATGACATAGGGAAAAGTATGGTAATCAGGTAGGATTATCATCACTGCACTTTGACCACATCCATAGGTGCTCTGATCTCCTCCTCAACAGCTCCTGACACAATTGATACTGTCTGTTCTGTGTTCATTAATGAAACATCTTTCTTGGTGAAATGCTTACTTCTTGCAGCTCCAGGTTGCACCCCTACATCCAGACGAAATATAAACAACACTATGCCTGTTCTACTGTGTTGGTGAGAGGTCGAAAAAGCTGGACTAAATTTAAGTCCCTTTCTCACACTTTTCTGATCTAGGTAAAGGCCTGTGCTTTTGTATTTTTGGAAGCATGATACATAACTGCTCAAATTCATGAAAACAAAAACCTAAAAATTCATTATAGGAAGAATAAAAGATGTTAAGACTGCAATTATTACTCAGAAGGTTTAACAAAGCATTATTTATTTCATTAAAAAGCAAAAACATGGTATGGTCAAGTTGAGCAAGCTTTTGACATTTAAAAAAAAAAATCATTATATAGTGAATCAACTGGGGAACATCATTCTCCTCTTGGTCTGCTAAAAAAAAAAAAAAGGGTCACTCCATCATTTAGGGACATTTAACTGGGGGCCCGAGGGCCAAATCTGGCCCGAGAACGCCTAGCAAATGGCACTGCCAACTGTATCGCATTAGCAATCTTTCTATGCTGGAGCTTGGACCTCTGGGGTGTGATGACCCCCTATTTTCAATATTTTGGCCCCTGAGTAAACTTAGCTGAATAGTCCTGCCATAGTTACTCGTTCTTGTGCTAACAAAATCCACAAAGAATGCTGGTGATTTATTAATATCATACCCCAGATGACGTCACAGGACAGTCCAACATTTTAGAGGGCGGTAGGCTGGGTTTCCCAGCTTACTTGTGCTTTAAACGACCCCAAAACATCTAGAAAAGGCCATAACCCCAACCCACCTCCATCCCACAAGAGAGTGCAGCCTAGGTCCCATGACTGCATGCAGTCTATCTATCACCCCCTGAAATATGAGACTGTCCCGTGACCTGTGGATTTTCCCTGTTTGGGGTAAGATATTAATAAAGCCCCAGAATGCCCACTGCTGTCCCCATCGCTGTGAAATAAGTGACACAGACTGCACTCTTGACAAAATCAACAGTATACATACACACTAAATGACTAAGGAATCATCAAAAGTGACAACACAAATAGTCCAAGTCTAGTACTGCAGTTTATCATCAGTGTAAGCAGCAGTTACAACAAATCGGTTGTTGAACATGCAATTAATTACATCAGGCACGATCAGTTCAGTGGCAACTTTTTCCCAGGAACCATACTTTTCATCACAGAATTATTATCAATCAATCAATTAGATGCCATCGCCACAATGAATACTGGTTGCAACTGATCACCAACATGCTCTGTCTTTCCCCTTGGTGTACTCTTAAACAGCTGTTTCTATCTTTTGGTGTTATCGTTCCACAAGTATCGCTGTCGCCTTTTGCTCTCTTGCCTTCAACTTATCCCTCCAGTATGGTTTCTATAAGAATGTTATGTCTTTTAATATGGGTGAAATATTTTACTTGTCTATTTTTTATTTCTATCAGAATTATAAATGGTGTAACAAATATAAACTGATATGCAGCAATATGTAATGACTAACCTCTCCAACGACCTCCTTCGCCTCCTTCTCAAGCGCAGCTTTCAACTCAGCCACAAGCTGGTTGGAGAGTCCCTTAGGGTTGACCAATGATATTTCTGGCACCCTTAAAACAGAAGAATGACAACAAAATGTATACAGGTCTGGACTAATATTAACATCAAGTCATCAAATGTATACAGGTCTCGACTAATATTAACATCAGGTCATCAAATATATACAGGTCTGGACTAATATTAACATCAGGTCATCACATGTATACAGGTATCAACTAATATTAGCATCAGGTCATCAAATGTATACAGGTAAAGGTAAAGTCGGGAGATGTGAACCAGCGTCATTGCACACGGTTATAAACCATAAGTGCTCTGCCACCAGTACGGACAGCTGATAAGAATTGTCCACCCGTGTCGCCGTCCGCACGTAACTCTGTAGCTACAGCGACGTTCCTCCATTTACCCTAGAGTGGTACCCATTTCCTAGAGGCTGGGTGAACCCCAGGAACTGCCCGGTTTCAAACACCGACCGTGGGCTGCAGCGAGTCGCAGCTGGATTTGAAAGTGAGCCTCTTATTGACTGTGCTAGACAGGTATCAACTAATATTAGCATCAGGTCATCAAAGGTATACAGGTTTCAACTAATTTTAGCATCAGGTCATTAAATGTATACAGGTTTTAACTAATTTTAGCATCAGGTCATCAAATGTATACAGGCCTGGGCTATCCTCCGAATAAAGATCCCAAATTATCGAGGCCGAAAATATACCCTAACAGGGCTACAGTCAAGTGTCAATTGCGGACTTCCAGCGACTTAATTGCGGACTTCTGGCAACTTCTGCCACCGCCAAGAATATCACCCCACGCCGCATGGATTGGGGCTAAACTAGATGGCTAGGACACACGAGCAGCAGCTACCGCATCTCCTGCAGCTTCCTTCATTTTATTTGCTTGTGAGTCCCAGCCATCTAGTTTAGCCACCGCCAAGGATATCACCCCACGCCGCATGGATTGGGGCTAAACTAGATGGCTGGGACACACGAGCAGCAGCTACTGCATCTCCTGCAGCTTCCTTCATTTTATTTGCTTGTGAGTCCCAGCCATCTAGTTTAGCCCCAAACCACGCCACGTGAGTGGCTTGAGGGATTTCTTGGCGGTGGCAGTATAGTCCCAGGAAGTTCGCATTTCGGCGGTGGCGGTATAGTCCCCTGAAGTCCGCAATTGACACATGACTGAGGCCCTGTTAGGGTATATTTTCGGCCTCGATAATTTGGGACTGTTATTCAGAGGATAGCACAGTCCTGGATTAATATTAACATCAGGTCATCAAACGTATACAGGTCTGGACTAATATTAACATCAGGTCATCAAATGTATACAGGTCTCGACTAATATTAACATAAGGTCATCAAATGTATACAGGTCTGGACTAAAATTAACATCAGGTCATCAAATGTATACAGGTATCAACTAATATTAACATCAGGTCATCAAATATATACAGGTCTGGACTAATATTAGCATCAGGTCATCAAATGTATACAGGTCTGGACTAATATCAACATCAGGTCATCAAATGTATACAGGTCTCGACTAATATTAACATCAGGTCATCAAATGTATACAGGTCTCGACTAATATTAGCATCAGGTCATCAAATGTATACAGGTCTCGACTAATATTAACATCAGGTCATCAAATGTATACAGGTCTAGGCTAATATAAACATCAGGTCCCCCCAGCCTTGTGTGGGTACCAGGGGCAAGACTGGGAAATAAAGTCGGTCAGTGTAATGTTGACCATATCACCCACCAAATGCCAACTGGTCTATAAAATATAGGTCTAGCCCTATTTGCCCAATATGCCTCAAGGCTTGGAAACGGCTCCTTTACTTTACGATCAGATAACATGAAATAAGTTTGAGAAATACAAATCACAGATCTTCTCATAATAATATTCACTATAAATATTTGTTTAAATTCAGAACCTAGAAGTACTGGAGCTCAAAATAAACATTGTAACAAAGAACTGTATGGAGAATGTATTAGTTGAAAAAAAAAAAGTGAAAGACACTTGTTTAAAAGACTCACACATCTGGGTATCTAGGTGAACATTTGACCACCATATCCAACTGAACATGCACATTGCCTTCTTCACCTCCCACGCTTTGCTGAGGCTTCAATGTTAGTTTTAGTTCCAATGGTTGAAAAATCTGTTTAAAAAAAAAAAAAAATAAGCAAAGGTTACATATATTTTTTTTTTCCTGAGCAAAGACACAGAAAAAAAAATACAGACAAAAATCAAAGATAACTGGAATAAACAAAAGGCAAAAAACTTTAACTGTCTTTCTGGTAAAAAGTACCCCCCCATAAAGTAACGGTCATAAAAACATCATCATCGTCAGGCGCCTTGCTGACTGGTGTGGGCGATCATGCCTCTCCGTAATCTGCGATCTCCTGCAGCATGTATCAGTTTGTGTGCCGACACACCTCCATGCCATGCAACAAGACTGTCAAGCATCTTCTCTCGTTGTCTTCCTTTATCCCTGCACTGGTCTTCAGTTAGCTCACACCAAGAAATTTACTCAAAACTAGTTGAATTCTGCAAGTCATGGGTTTGACTTTTTAACACTAACCATGCTTAGTCTCTTTTTATGACATGCATGGTTGGTTACAGTGTTAACTACTGTGTGTGTGTGTCCATTATGTGCCTTTGTGACTCATGAGCAAGTTCACTTCTTTTCTGCTTTTCATCTTATAATCAACTAAGGAATTAAAAGCAAAGCAGGCACAGCTAATAAAATGTGATTGTTAAAAATATAATTTTAACACAAATAAATGTCACTGGTTTTTTAAACAGACTGATGGAAGGAATTTAACTGGCGCCTGCGCAGAATAGAGGGAATTAAATGGTATAATAGAATAACTAATGTAGAACTTTGGAAGAGAACTAAACAGGCTCCAGTGGACCAAGAGGTGAGGAAAAGACGCTGGCCTTGGATAGGACACACACTGAGAAAACAAGAGAACAGAATAACTAGAATGTCTTTGCATTGGAATCCACAGGGGCATAGGAATAAAGCAAGGCCAAAAAACACATGGAGAAGCGAGCTGGAGAATGAAGTTAGAAAGATGGGGAGGACATGGGGAGAGCTCCATGCAATGGCGAAGGATAGAACGACTTGGTGTGAGTTGGTTGAGGGCCTATGCTCCATTGGGGGATAGAAAGGCAGAAGAAGAAGAAGATGTAAGGAATGCTAAACACAATACAAAATGTGACTAGATAGCTCAACAGAGGGAATGGAAAAGACGCACACAAACACAACAAACACTTTGACCAAAGTCTTTATCAATGAAGTATTTAATTCAGCACAAACTGATGGGAGGAAACATACAATATTCTGGCAGTTTCACTCCACAACAACAAAAAAACTGTCCACATGAAAAAGTATAAATAAACAGATATGAAAATATTAGAAGTATAAGATCTTTAGGCTCTCCTTTGAATTTACCCCTAAAATGGCGGCCGTATTATGATGCTGTCCGAAAAAGAGCTAAATTGGCCAATTTCTGGCCATAAAATATCCAAAAATATCCAAACGGGGCTCAGTTCTATTAAAAATATATGTGCCGTCTCCGCATAACGAAACAAATGCTCTAACAGGGTCTCGGCGATATGTTACTTGCGGAGCTGCTTCTGCGAGTGTGCCTCACCGCCGACCGTATCCCCCGCGCCACTACATGCGGCGCGGATAGGGACTAAACTAGATGGCTGGGACTCAGAAGCGGCAGCTACCGCATCTCCTGCAACTTCCTCCAATTACTTTACTCGTGAGTCCCAGGCACCTAGTTTAGACCCCCCCCCCCCCCCCCCCCCCCCCCCCCCCCCGGCGATAAGTTTAATCGCGTTTGGCGCATGCCGACAAGTCTGACATCTACCGCTGGTAAATCCTCTAATCGGAAGAACACAGTATTGCTAATCGGCTTTCATCGTCTGTAATGTCTCGAAATTGGTCAATGGTCGCTAATATCGTCTGCAGAAACGCTCGAAATTGTTGTCAACGGTGGGTATTTATTGTCTGCTACTACCGTGTGCAAATGTTGATATTGATTGTCAAGTAATCCTAGTTTTGCCGAGATTTGTTCCTTGGCAGAAAGTGCATATTTTAGATATACGTGAACACCGTCGTTTGGATATTTTTGGATATTTTATGGCCAGAATGTGGCATCATATTATGGCCGCCATTTTGGGGGTAAGTTCAAAGGAGAGCCGATTTTTATATGTGGGTGAAGTTCTTGGCTCTCCTCTGAACTTCATTGGAGGAAAGTCCGCATTTTACACATGAGTGAGGCCTGTTAGGGTACTTGTTTGGCCACCATAATATGGGGATGAAGTTCAGAGGAGAGCCAAGTTCTTAGCTTCTTGTGTCTTACTATAACTTTTATTTTGATCTTCACACCAACTTCAGAGAAATTAAAAAAGAAAAAGAGAGACAACTGAAGTATGTTGGTCACATTAAAATCCATGTACTTTTTAAATATCCTACAGATAGACAATCTGACAACAGACAATGATTATGACACAATGGGGAAGAGATGAAAAACAGAAGTCTGTATGTATAAACTGGCTAAAAGAATGAGATGCTTCGCAGTCAACTTTCACAGCGTAGTCTGAACCTGACTAACAAATATATATGAGAAGTACATAAATGCATATATGTGTATACATACACACATACATAAAAACGTGCATACAAGTGAAGAATACAATAACGTTAGTTATAGTTAGAAGAACAAATGTAAATAACAGAATACATATCAAGTGATCATCATTGTGATGCAAGTCTGTGTCACAGCTGAGCAACGACTTGAAAAATACTATATATTATATGTTACAATTAAAGCAAAGACGAAATTAAATGGACATGGCAGTGACGTATATACATTCCAAGCTGCTTTCTTCCTAAGATCGATGATATCTTGTCCAAAGATCGACTCCAAAGCTTGTAACTCCTCATCCTGTCGTTCTTGGAAGGAGGCAGCAGACATCGCTCACCGTTCTCTTGGTACTTGGTGACGATGCTCGGCTCCTTCCCTACAAACGTATCATAAATGATTGTTTCTGTAATCTCCACGATATCATTTTCATTAGTAACATCTGAACGTCTATTGCCTGTACAAGATTCTCAGCGTCATGACATTATCGCATAAAGATTTCTGCAGACGTGTTAAAAAATAATATTAGTTTCATCTCCAGTTTGAAGTACGACTTCCTGTTTACAAAGCTGTTGGTCAAAATTTCGGACTAAACGTTGGCTCGGAAATTAAGTTTCGAAACTAACAATTAAATCCATACTATAAATCACAAACCCTGTCTGTATTTCGTGTATGTATTTATAAATGAAGTGTTAACTTCTCACAAACCGTGACCAATACACGGGTTACATTTTTATTTGCTTTTATGACTACAATGTTTAATTTAACAGTTATATTGGCGGGCAAGGTTATTGTGCATTTCTTTATTTATTGCGACAATAGGTAAAAGTAAACTTTTGCTGCAGTTATATTCCTTTAAATATTTTTAGCTATTAGTTTCCTTGAAAAGGTAAGTTTTAAAAATTATATTTCGCTGTTTTTCTTACGAAACATGTATCCATATGTGACAGAGACAATAGATTTTTCGGTCTCTCAATTTGTTAAACACTAGTATAAGTATTACAGGGAACGCCTTGGGTATACTTAGGGGTAATGACTAAAGATACAACAGCGGAGGATAAAAGGATGAATTAGAAGGGATATTGAATATGGGGTTTTTAAGTAGACCCCTCTTTCCACTAGGCCTACATACAAGTCGGTGACTGTTGCTTGGGCATTGCAAACGCGTTTCGTAATGCCGGGGCACCGGGTTCAATCCCTATCGTTTGTGCTATGTATGCAAATGATGATCTCGACCCGCACTTCCTGGACCCATATGGGTATATGACAATGTCTTCTGTGCGTGAATGCTGACCAGTCAGTGCCCTTGTCTCGTCGTCGACGGTGGCATGTGACTGTTTTCTGTAGTTCTTCCCCAGTGTTAAAGACAGACACAAACAAATTAAGCATGTCTACTGGTGTATCCGTCCACTCATTCCTATTACATTACTGATGTTGTTATTATTAGTATTTTAATGAAAATGTTTAATTTATAATATTTTTCTTATTATTGAATATTATTATTGCTAATTGTTATTATTATTATTATTATTATTATTATTAGTGATATGCTAAATGACAAATTATACATACGGCAAGCACGAGAAACCATTATCATCACCAGTGTTGCCACTTTGGATGTTTTTCATCAAAATTTAGATGTTTCCCCTTGCATTTAGATGGCGTTTTTGACGTTTAGATGGTAGATGTTTTTCTAGATTCTTTTCATTTGGAGTGAATTAATAAAATCTAACCTACGAAACAGGATGAAATTTGACCTCTTAAATGCTATTTTACAGTAAAATTTTGCCTGATAAGAGAAGGAAAATGCTGTTCAACTTATTAGTTCCCTGATTGTGTATTAAAATAAACTGGAACAACTAAAGCATTCCAGAGTCATTTTAGATCTGAAGCTTCAACTTCATCATACAAGCTAAGTTTATCCTGTGCATCTTGTAAGGCAGTCTTTAGTAAAGATGAGGACATGATTCTATAGGGTAAGTCAAATCAATTGCTATGTAATGTGTGACTCTTTCCATTGGGATGTTTTTTCTAGATGTTTTCCATGCAAATGTAGATGTTTTTAGATATTTTTGACTTCGTTTTGGATGTTTTTTGTCAAAGAAAAGTGGCAACTCTGATCATCACCATTATCAACACGACCATCTTTCTGTACTAGAAGCAAATGCAGAGGAGGGGGTTAACTTGTGATGAAGGGAACAGAGAAGAGATAGCTGTAAGGATAATGTGGAAATCTACTCCTTGAAATCTCGACTCCGAACCTACAAGAGCTCTCAACAATGTCGCGTGGCGAGCCAAACCCAACCATAAGCTGCCTCAGTAGCAAGAAAAGAAAAGAGAAAAAGAAAGTTCGTTTAGGCGGGGGTAAAATCAAAGTATCTCACCCTGGCAGCAAATCTTCTGTGTGGGGTCTAATATAGTCTAACAGTAAAACCTAGACATACTAACTAAAATATAACACGAAATGTAAGTTGACGAATACAGAAACTTTATTGTTGATGACATAACAATCATTCTTGACAACACTCCAAAAGCTAAATATACTAAAGAACTACTAACTGAAATATATGAGCAGACCGGTAGAACTAACCAAGCAACTAGTAAATCAATGAATAACAAAATACTGACAACTACTAGCAGACCAACAACCAGGTAGTACCGTTATGCAGTCTTAACCTTGAAAATACCTACCCCTAATTAGGGGGCTTTAAACCCCCCCCAAAATCCGAGTATATACTTTTCACAAAACAATTTAAATTTTTAAAAATAAACATGGATGCCCCGAAATGAAAAAAAAAAGTATAAAATTCAGGGGGCCCAGAAAAACCCAAAACAAAACAAAAAATTATAAATGAAAATACGGAAAAAAATAATCAATTCTGAAATAATGAAAAATCTGAAATATGGGAGCCCAAAACAATTCAATAAATTTATACCTCCTCTTTACCTCTATTCAAATCTTTTTAAAAAAAATCAAACCAAAAATAAAAATCTCACCCCACTTTCCCCCGTTTAGAGTGGCGACTTACTTGAACGCGAACACCTAAACCCCCGGGTTTGGGAAAATATAATCCCCACCGACTGTGAATCTTATCGGCTTGCCCCAGGATGCTCAGGCAAACAAATGTCCAGGGATCTTTTCACAGCATTTTTAAACCCCTTTTAAATCATG